GGAGAAGTATCTTGTAAGAAAAGCCTTACTAAGTGAACTCGTGTCAGGAAAGTCATCAGCAAATGGGCCCTCGACTGAGCGAAAAGCGTAGGTGATTCGCTTCCAATATTCTCTGTTTTGAAGCCATCTTCCAACAAATGAATCTTAGTAACCGCTATACTTATAGAGCTTTGAATGGAGATACCAGCGAGACAGCGTTTCAGCCAGGGTCTTTTGAAGAAAATGTAGGTTTCTATCAATTGTATCAGTTAAACATTTGTTTTGATCTGGCTTTATCCTCTTTCCATTAAAAGTTTTTTGAAATGATTGCAGTTACCACGGAAAGATTCGGAATCGTCGTACACAACGGCTTATCAAGGCCGAGGAAGTCTTCAAAACCTTCCCCAATCCGGTTCGATTGAATGAGAGACGGCTCATATGGGAAAATTTGGTTCTCATGGTTTGGATTGAAGAATTCATTCTCCTCTCAAAGATCTGCTCTAACAAGGAAGGCATGTGCCCATTTTTTTCGGTTTGCTAACACTTCCGCGATCTCGATCTTGCTTGCTGCTTTGTAGCATTTTTTAGTACTCTTCGTGATATGTGTTTGATTTGTTAGGCGAATTCGACTCCGTAGGTGAGCTTTAACGCGACTTCGAAATTGCTCTTTTATTAGGTCGGATATATTCAAGGTGTGCCTAACGTTCTCGAGCCATTTTGAACAGTCTATGTAATTTTGTTTTGGAAGAGCGAATTTTTGCCAATTTTAACGAAAATCCATATCATATTGCAAAGCAATCATATATCAAGACTAGGGCGCTAGTCTCTTCCAGCCTTCCTACAAAGGTATCCGACCACCCAAATCAGATATTCTTTGCGGCAAGTACGGTCGTGCGACCTAGGCAGGCTCATATTCCAATCATTCAAAAGCTTCCAGTGCGTCAACTTTTTATGTCACGAAAAATGGCCATTGGTTTCGAGTGGCAAGCGGGTGCAAGTGTGCAAGTGGCAGCTGGCAGNNNCCACTTTCCCGTGCAACAGGCGTTTTGGGCAGGTTGTTAAGAAGGTATAAGGGTTTCCGGTTCCGGGAGGCTCTGTACAACAAAGACTCTTCTTGACCACGCATCAGTTTTACGTGAAGAGTAAAAACATCTACATATTTATACTTGGATCGAATGGGGTAGGTTGAAGGTTGTTAATTGAATGGGCTTTCAGATGGAATGGATCAAAGCATAACCCTTCCCTGGACTTACTATTACTTCCAAATATAAAAAAGCACAGCCACCCTCGCGCTTCCAATGTACAGATCAGAAGGCTATGTAGAAGTAGCGGGCCCGGTATTTCGATGCGCCTGAGGTATGAATGCAGGAAAAGTAGAGGAAAACAGTCCTAGTTTTGTAGTTCATTCCAAGGTATGTACGAGTTGTAATTGGACAGAGTTAGAGAAGCAGCATGTTATGGACGAGATGGATGCGGCAGAGAAAAGTAACGGATGGATCGGGTGCACTCTAAATGCTGTACATATATCATGCGGGAAGTGCGAATCTGTAGGAATTTGGAACATCACGTGCTTTCTCGCCCACCTACTCGAGTGCTTTCCCACACAGGGCCATAGGTCGTCGCGAGTCTTAGGCGCTATCTTTTCATTCAGTGCATATGAATATAATTTTTTTACTCATTTATGGAATTGTCTACCTTCGAAAGTCGTTCTTTTCAACAAAAAGAGTCAGTGTGAGTGAAGGTCCACTTCATATGGTCGTTTTATGGGAGTATGGTAGCAGGGGATCCCCATGTCGCCTTTCGTTCTTTCTGGAACCAGCGCAGTTGTGCCTTTCTGGTTTGTGCGACATTCACCTTCACACCTGCCATTTTTGTCCACCAAAACAGCGACATAAATCGAGTTTTTTCTGTAGCAGAAAAAGTTCACAGGCCATAGACCCGTGCCCTTCGAAAATTCCTAGAAATTACACCGATTTTTTATTTTATAGCCATTCTGGGTAGAGTTAGTTAGGCAGCAATTTGTTGCTTGGGTATTTTTCGCCTTTGAAAGCCAGAGAACGTGTGACACACTCCCGATGACTCGGTTTCTTAGCTTATTTCAAGTTTTTGAAATTCCCCTGAGTCAGGGCCACTAGCTGAATTGATCCAGTTTCGTTTTATATTTATAATTTGCGAGTCTAAGTGATTTCATTGATAGGCCCTGAGATTGGATTGTTAATGACAGTTGAAATGCTAGTCACTGTTATGTTTTTCTTTCTTGATTTCTTTGTTTATTTGTTGATCTGGAAGAGTCGCGCTGAGCCTTTGCGCTTTTCTATCCATCTACGAAGTATAGTTATCATCGCTCACATCATTAGCCGGTCTGTGATAATCTGATAATTTGTGTTTGTAGTGGCGATAAAGTGATCATTTCTGTAATTATTACACTGTCCAGTGCACTTTCTCCCTTTCGGCGATCTTGAACAAGATCATAAGCCATATCGTTGATGGCTCGGCATGATGGATGCCTAACATTGCGATCTTTATCTCCGTAGAGGTTGGAAGTGTGACTGCTGTCTGTGGTTTCCCGTCTCCCCGTCTAACCCCTGCAGAGATCAGAATCGGTTTGCCCCCAGGAGAGGAACAAGTTTTCTGACCTCAGCGGATTTTCTGGCCCACTCGTAGAAAAACGGGTTTCCCCCTCTCAATGGGGGTGGTGTTCCAGGTTGCTTAGAATATTGAGTGGTACTATTTCCGGCTGCGCCAATCGACAGTGAGACCGACAGCCCACGTAGTGGCCCTTTACCAAGTGGTACTTCACGAACTATGCTAAACAAGCGGAATATGATGGTCATCGGTTTGAGAAGTTTGTTATGAGAGGTAATCAAGCCTCTTTGTTAAAGTGATACTACTCTTTCGATAAATACTAGTAAGAGGGCTGATCGGAACGCATTTGCCAACCCGACTGTCACCACGACCACTGTAAATCCTCTGCCTACTCTTCCACCGGTCGTGTCATTCGTAGCTTTCGCTTTTAGCTCTCTAGTAGTATAGTTCTTGAGTTACAGAA